ACAACTCTAATATGTCATGGAAAAAGTAAAGATTGTTTCTGGGGGGTTGTTTTGTGTAGGAATAAGTTAAAATTCCCCCAGGTTAATGGGCAAATCTTCTCAAAAGTTACTGGATCCATTTGGTTGTAGTTATTCCCACACAAGAGGGAAATACCGGATACCGAAAGAAAATTTCTCACTGGTTTCCAACTTATGCAGTTCTTTTATATCGAAAACTGTAAGTGAATCACCCAGGTTGGGATGGAGATTACATTATTCACGATGCGCCAGTTCTCCCATGACGAGTCAAACAACAAAGTCTCCATGTGTGACACGGCTGGCATGTTGCCTCAAAGCTCCGTTTCATCAACCTTTTCTAAAATTGCCCCCTAAAATGAGACTGGCCGTGAAAGATGAGACGAGACGAGCAGGATCCTCCTCTGGCATTCCCTGACAGATGTCATCTTTAGGATTCAAACTAGCATCACAGAGCAAGCTTTCATTTAACCTCAAACTCAGGCAGCAGCCGTGTATCTTCAGACCAAGGTGAAACACCCAAACAACCAGAGGTACAGTTCCTCCGATTTTTCCCAAATATCTAAAATTATATCTCCAGGCAAGCACAGACTCCTCACCGAGCCTCTCAAAGTTCACAGAACAGGCAGAGTTTTCATTAAATGATGAATGGCGTTCTGCTGAGCCATCTAAAACCAGCTTCATAGCTTCTTTCTCACTCAGAAAAATCCCCCTATAGAGACTGGGGAAAAAACACACAATTAAGAGTGAAAATATCCAAGGACCCTACAGGAGGCTGGTTGTTATGTAAGATCTATGCTGAGAAGATGCAAGAGCAGCATTCTCTGAGCCGCTCGCTAAAGAAACCCCACCTTCCTGTTGGGTGTGAACCTCCTTTAAAGAGTCGAGGATTCCCAGGAGAAACATGCCCGAGCTTTTATCCTTCAAACCTTTTCAGGTCATTGGCGATGCTGCTTTATGTTGCGTTTTAATATGATGACATATTTGTTACACGAAGTGTCTAAAAAGTCCTCTTTTTTTTCATCTGAGCTGAGGGTTTTTAATAAAGTGCACTCTGAGATATTCCTGCATCCAGTTTGAAACCAAAGCTCTGCTCTTCTTTTGAGGGAGCAGCACGATTGTATAATGTGTATATCTTAATAGCTTGATAGAGAATAAAAATAGCTTTTTCCATACCTAAAGAATTTGTGTATTTTCTCACGAAGTAAGCAAAAGTCTTTTTTAAATCTAATGTTTGCTTTTGCTCAATCTGTATTTAATAATATATCAGCAAGGCATTGGAAATATTTCTCACTGGGAGATAGTCTCTGGGAGTTAATTTTATTTCTTGTCAACCTGTGTTATCCATGAGATTTTTTTCTTTTGATATTGCTAATAGGATTTTAGTCTCTTCTTGGTCTCCACATATTGCATAATGTCCTGTCATTTCTTAAATATCAGTTTTTCTAGTGTTTCAGCAAATCAAATAAAATCCTGAAGAGCGTTAATGTCTTAAAATGTCCTCATTTTGTTTAGTCACCCAGTCATCTGATTGTTATTCAAACATGACTGTCCAAGAATGTGTTGAATTTACCTTGAATTTATCAAAGCCTTCTTTATTGACAACAATAAGGATTCAGACCGATGCATTCCAGAGCCGGAGCTGTCTGAACAGATAAGGAAACAGATTATCACATTGTTTGGTCTTCTTTATTTCCTACAAGTTTTAAATGTAATACAGAAAGTTCGTTTACGGTTCGAGAAGCCGCTGCCTCTGATATCCTTGAATTTTCCATAACCTTGCATGTTTATGGGGGTGTGCTAATGCAAAAAGCTTTCTCTTCTGAATTAGTTAAGAAACTGATTTTTTTTAGTTGTGGAACATATTTCTGCCTGAACTGCAATCATTGTTAAGCTCCACTCTGAGGCATTCTTCCCTACCTTATCTGTACTTTAAGCTGTTCTAAATCACATTTCAGAAACATAATGTTGTAACGCAGTAGCTCTATACACACCCGGTGAGTAGCTGTGATAATGTCCTTAATAATAGCAGATGCACAGAAAAGATATTATCCTCCTTGAATTTTAATCTCTTTGGGACAAAACAAGGTTATGCAGTAATTCCAAAAAGATGACATCCAGATAATGAAAAAATATTGAACAATTCAGGTTCTTTTCTTCCAAAATTAATTGAACCTCCTTTAGACTTGTCTGGTTTTTTTAAAAGAAAAACACTTCAGTGAAAAACCAATATGTCTAAAAGCAGCTCCTTTTAAGCATTGAACAGTCTGTCTGTCTGTCTATCTATCTATCTATCTATCTATCTATCTATCTATCTATCTATCT